AGAATGTATTTTAGAATAGTATATTGATGGAAAATGTGTAGTTGAAAAAGAAGAAAAAGTTATTGATGTGATGGAAAATATTATTTTATTGAAGAATGTGTGGTTGAAAATGAGTAGAAGAATGAGAATGAAAATTTTAATGTGGATCAAACAAGGGTTAATGTGTTTTTTCAGTAGCTATTTAAAATATACGCTCAGTATTTAAAAACTTTGATAACCTAATCATTCACCTTCTCGGAACAACGAAGTCTACTCGACCCTCATACAGCCTTCAAATATTCGTTCATTACTCAATTCGTCCTTCATATGCTCTACCCCTATATCGGATCGAAGGAGAGACCATTCTACTTGGACGTGGATTGTGATATTATAGATTCGAATCAAGTCAAGCTCAAATTAATCAAAAACTCACCAAAAAAAACCCTCTCGCTATGTGATAAACTTGTAAAAAATAAATGAAATTATTGATTTATCAATTAACTAAATTCAAATTATTCATAAGATTTTTTTTTTTTATTATTGGCTCATTAGGTTTAGTATTAGGGAATACGGACTAAAAAGTATTGTTTGAAATATTAGTACTGTATACCAAACATACGTTATCGAATTAACTCTTTAGATATCACGCATAATTTAGGTAAGAAGAAAATAACCGGAGTTGAGGTTGACCGGAAAGTTGGGTGTAGGCATTTAATTCGGAAGGACCGAATCATTTGGTCCGTAGAAACAATCGGTGTTTTCACACTCGAGTTTTTGACCTGTAACCGGTTGAGTGTGAAACCGGGTCTAGATTCCACGTGAAGTGGGGAAAATTTTAAAAAGCTTGGCTCTTGTGCATGATTCATCTTGGAATTTGTTTTTACCTTTTCTTTTTAACTTTAATGGAAAATTCATTCTTTGGTGGCCATTGAAATGACTTTTATGCCCTTGCTCCATTTTTCCCCCTATTATTTGCCCTTTTTATATGCTTTTCAGAGATTTTTCCATTTTCCTTTTGACTAGATTTTTCCGTTTTGATTTTGCCAGAAATATCGTTTTATATGTTGTGATGGGGTCAGGGTGGTGTGGGGATGGAGGTTATGAGCAGGGGTGGACGCAGAAGTTTAAAGTTAGGGGGCACAATCAAAATTGTAGAAGTTGAGAGAAATTTTACAATCGAAAATTTACGTCCAAAAAAATCATGCTCCATATAATTTTGCATCCGAAACTTTACATGAGATATGACTTTTTCAAATGTAAAATTTCGAAATTTTTTGATGTCATATTCCATATAAAATTTCTTAATAAAATGATGAGAAATTTGTATCGCAAAAATAATAAATGTTAATGAAATAATTGATTTTTTTTAAAAAAAATGCGAGTTAAATGTTTTTATTTAAGACTCACGTCTAACTATTTTCGATATCTATTTGGATTATTCGATATGTCTAAAATATAGTTCTCGAAATAAGTTTTAAGATGATATAAGCAATTTGTAGATTCGATTAGCGTACGATTGTTGGAGAATTTTTAAAATTAGTTTGTTATCGAAATTCAAATTTATTGTGATTTTGCCATGTTTGATGGAGATTAAAATCAATTTTTTAGTAAATTAACTTTACAAAAAAAAAAAAAACAAATTCAAAAGTTGGGGGGCACGTGCCTCCCAGGATCCCCCTTGGGTCCGCCCCGTCCCGCATCATGGAGGAGGTAAATCATGGGATGTACCTCAACAGGTTAGGGTACAAGAACTGATATACTGGTGCCCACAAAGAATCAAATTACATACTTTGCCATCAAAATTATACGTGTCCAAGTGTCTTTAAGACCAGTAACTCTTCCATATCCATGAAATGGGTTTGTTTGCCGTACATGTCAATTGAGTGTAGTAAGTATCGATTTTAAAGTTTTTATCGTTTTCAATTACAATTAGGTTATGTTTGATTGCTCTTTCTTTTTCATGGTAGATGGAAATTAAAATCATTTTCCACATATTTGCATGTTTAATTGACTAAATCTTTCATGAAATTCTAAAGGATAACTTCTTATATAGTTGTAAATGTGATAGTGTATATTATACTAGAAATATACTTAATTTATCAAGTATTGGTAGTGTAGAGTTTTTCCTTTTTACATGCACAACTCTATGGAATGAGCTGGGGTCCGGCCCCTACCTTTTTATGCAATAATATATAATTGCTTCATCTACCCATGATAAATTAATTAAGGGTAAGTTGTGCATAGATTCTAATCACTAGCAAGGTCCCAAATTAGGTAACTGCAACTATCAAATGGTTTCAGATCATTTTCCTATAATAACAAAAAGCAATAGACCCTAGAACTCTTAGCTAGTACCATTCCAAGAAAACTAAAAATTCAATCAACCAAAAATTTGTAGGTATAGAATTGTGGTAATATTATTTTTGGAAATACTCGTCAAAACACGATGCATTATGTTTTTTGTTTTCGTGTGCCTCGCTCTTCAAAATCTTATAATTGATACATTTATCGATTCGAATATTGGAGCAGTTTTATCGATCAGCAGCAGCAACAACAACAACAACGACGATAATCATACTAATAATAATAGAGTCGAACACATACTTTACGGACCTTTTAAAAACTTATATACTTTTAAATTCACTTTTGAATGAATTGAAAAATGTTTGTGACATTATTAAAACATAAATAGTTGGAAAAAGAATTGTGACATTGGTGTTTATTAGTAAGTTGATCTCGCCTTTAATTATAGTTTCACATCAGTCCTTGATGATTGAAATCATCCAATTCTCTATTGGACCTCATGTGATAATTTAACGAAGCTTGTTCTACGAGATTCGCATGATAATTCATGAAGTTCTGACAATTTCTATTAGACACGAAGTTATTATTTGTAAGGATTAAGGATCAATTTGCTATTGAGAGAATAAATTGAGGATGACGGTGCAACTTTCCCTAGATTGGTAAGCAAGTTGTTGTGATGTGGCATGAGAGGGGCAAAGCGGACAGTTCAAACTCTAATTACGTCGTGGACACAGCACACAAGAGTACGTGTAAAGCAAATTATTATTACCGCGTATTGAAGCGTGTGAAAAAGGTCGTTAGCACGTGTGTTCCAGATGTCCGACATGCGGCGCTGAGGCTGACCCGAATACCGCGTCACCAACTCAACATTGGCCGATTCTGATCCGACAACTCATTGCACTGTCACCACACACCGAATCTAGTAGACACATATAATTCATAAAAAAATTAGAGAAATGCTACACAAACAGGAAATNTCTCGAATCAAATCGAACGGTTCTTCATAAATTAAATACCCGAACGGGTACCTGAATCGAGAACTGATGGGTTTGGGTCGGGTCTCGAGTCTAGACCAAAAATCAAAAAACCGAATAAGAATCGAAACTAAATAATTTTTTTATTTTTTATATTGAATTAATTAAAATATTTTATTTTTCTATACAAATTAATAAATTAATTAAATAAATTAGATTATTTCATAATTTTAATTTTAAAGCCCAAATCATTTTAAAAATTCATTAGCCCATTTTAAATTGAAGCAAATGAATATACTTTATATAGTTTTGCTGTAATATTAATATCTGATTTTTGGTATTTGTATGCATTGAATTAATCTTATTGGACGGCTAGTTATTTATATGTTTTTAAATTGGGCTACGTTAATTTGTAAAAGTTACGAATGAAATGTCATTAGTTGTATTTATATAGTAGCAAATTAATTAAATAAATTAGATTATTTCATAATTTTAATTTTAAAACCCAAATCATTTTAAAAACCCATTAGCCCATTTTAATTTGAAGCAAATGAATATACTTTATGTAATTTTGCGTTAATATTAATATCTGATTTTTGATATTTGTACGCATTGAATTAATCTTATTGGACGGCTAGTTATTTATATGTCTTTGAATTGGGTTACGTTAATTTGTAAAAGTTACGAATGAAATGTCATTAGTTGTATTTATATAGTGTTATTGAAAATATAAAAAAATTTAATTATGGTATAGAATCGAACCGACCCGAACCGAACGGAACCGAACCCGAACGGTTCCATAATTATATTTGGACCCGACGGGTCTATTTATTAAATACCTGAAAGTTTTGGGTCGGTTTGAGTCTTTTCAGAATCGAACCGAATCGATCCACGGACAGCCCTACAATATAGCATAACTCTTCGTAACAATTCACACACTAGATAGATAATATTCTACTAATTTTTCTTCAAATTAAAAAAATTAGTCATTTTTCGAAAAACTGAATTTAGGAAGTGTTGCGTCAAATTTGACGCAGCCCCTCTCTCTAGCATGCTATTTTGAGCTTGGGTTCGACCAAAATAAGTAGAGTCGAATCTTACTAATATGATACATTTTTATCACACCATTTTCATTAATATATTTATTTTAACGAATATTATAATTCGTTGTTCTTATATATTACTTTAATGGGGGAGTGCTTTACATAATATTGAAAAAAATAAATATATTTTGACGAAGAACGAACTAAGTAAAGAAAATAATTTCTAATCTCCCTAACGTTTTGATTCTTTACTTTAAAAATTTCTTAAGCCTATGTTTGGCCTCAGTTTTCAAAAAACTCAAATTTTTTTAAAAATATCATTTTTCCAGCATGCATTCTCCCGTTAAATAATTTTATACGTAAAATCAATTTTTTTTCTTATTTTTAACCATACGTTCTTCAAAAAATTACAATTTCAAACTATATTTTCCCCTAAAATGAGAGTCAAACATGCTAAAACACTCTATAAAAGGAATTTTATACAATTGAAAATGCTCTAGAAAGTACAAAATCATTCTTAGGAGAAAAATCAAAGTTTTCCATAGTCATAGATGTGTCCAAAAGATTCAAAAACATTTTGACATTTTGAAAGTTCAAAATGATTTTGGAATTATTATAGCCATGTATAAAATATAATAATTTTTTATTAACTTTTTATAATATTCTTGTAAACTTTCTATAGAAATAATTAAACACTAGTAAGCTCCGTTGTCTCCCTTTAAAATAAAATTATTTAATTATCATACTTATTTTTAACTATACATTCACACAATAAAATATTTGTACATATAAATCCAAAATTTTGTGTAATGCTGCTTGGACAGGATTAGTAGACATGGATATTGACAGGTGATGTGTTGTCAGCACCTGTTTGGCTTTTTCTTTTTAAAAATAAATAAATTATCCAATTAAAATTTGACACGTGTCCCCAAAAAATTTGTTTATGACCCTATTCATGTAGCATTACTCCAAAATATTTTTCTACTTTTTAACCGCATATTCTTCAAGAAATCACTATTCAAAACACTATTTTTTCTCAATAATGACCATCAAACAGAGGTTAAGTAGCTTATGCAATAGAATATATCCATTTTACTATTTACTTAAGAATTAAAAAAGTGAAGTAAACTAGTCGAGAAAATATAGATAATAATAGTCAGTCAATCAGTTATCGTAAAGTACTTTCATTTTAAAAAAAAGGAGTGGACATAAGTGTCCGATCCATATATCTTAATCATTTAAATGGGACGTATTTCAATCATCAACTCATTGAAGAATTGAACCGATGTAATCGACAAGTTGCAATAAGAATACAAGACTTGTTAATTTTCGTCATCAATTGTAATGTAGACAAAGGACATGCAATTTCTAACCCGGCGTAACTGTTTCAATGCATAATTTCCACCCTCGTGTTTTGAATAAAATTATTGTGCCTTTGAAATTTTATTAGTTGTGACATTGTGCAGTGCACATATATAAATTTGGAATTTTTCACATGTACAGGAAATTGTTGATAGAAGAGGTTGACAGCCTCTGACATGCGCGAGGACCCCGCGTGAATAAAAAATTCCAAAAAAAAAGTGCCCACATTGTGAGTGTTCGGTCAACATCTTGTGTCAACCATTTCGGTACAAAATAGCATGGTTCTATAAATTTTAATGGGCAAAAGAGTATGTACATAATTTTAATTAAAACAATTAAAAACAAAACAAAACAAAAAATTCTCCATCTTCGTCAACACCCACTGTATAGAATAGTCGGGGAAGAAATCCCCATAGTTTCAAGGTGGAAGATTGGGGAGAGTTTTCCAGTCGTAAGTTGGTGAAGCAATAAACAGTGGTGTAGGCATCGGGTGGCGATGGGCCGATGGTAACAACATCAGTGTAATTGCAGTCGATGATAGTGGTTGGCTTAAGGCCCTATTTGATTGCACTTCAATTTCATGGAAGATGAAAATTAAATTTCATTT